CGAGTACAAATATTTACAAATAGAGAGAGTATGGGATTTTTATTTTTTTTAAGTAGAAACTGGCCACTAAAGCTGCTCTTGTCACAGCGGGCTGTTCTTGTATCTTTCTCTCCAATTGGCTTTCCCTTTTGGTGTGTAATAATATGATCCCTGACTTACCAAAGAAAGCTATGAGCTAATAAATCCCGTTTCTAAAATTAGTTGATATATATATATATATATATATATATATATATATATATTTCCAATAAATCAAAGACAGGTCTAAATTTCAGAAACTAAAAGGCATATGCAACTACTCTTGGAGTGTTGGAGAGATTTTCGATATGGCCCAATAACTACAAATTAAATTAAAAACTAAAAAAAGCAAAGGGAAGCTTGTGACTAGGAAGATTTATGTTAACGATCAATATAACATACTGAGGAGAATATTCTGTCTGTGCAATTCTAGCATTCATGAGATGTTAATAAAAAAAATGGAAAAATATACTGAAAAAATGTTCATTCTTGCAGGTTCGTTTCTTGTAGTCAAATATATATCATGTCTTCCACATTGAAAAATTTAATGTTAATTTTATATAATGTTTTAATTATTTATTTCCAATGAATTTCTGATAAAAAAATAATTTTTAAATAACTAGTTCTGAAACCAAATTAAAACTGAAAAAATAATTTCTTAATCAAAAGTTTTTTTTGTTGTAAGAGATTCCATTTTAATGAAAAAAAATGAAGGGGGGTGGTAATTTCAAATGTTAAATAACATGAAAAGAAAGAGGCTAGAATTCTTATAAATTTATTTGTATTACAAATAATTTATATATAGGTTAAATTAAAAATATTATTTTATTTTAAATAAATAAAACAAAATAAATATATTATTTAACAGTAATGTCCACACCTTCTACTTCTGGCTTAACAAAGGTTCAATGTTCGACGGACCCTTCCCCTTCTTTAATGAAGACTTGACTTGGAGCCACCGCAGCCAGGAAGGATCCAACGACTGTCCAAAGAAAGAATGTTTTAAAAGAAATCATCTTAGACCAAGGTGTCCTGTTTCAAGTCAAAAAGGGTCCAGAAGAGCAATGCCAAAGACTTTAATGCAGGATAGAATTGTATCGTTGGCTGTCGGCTGGAGGAGCCCCGATTTTCAAGCTAAGTAAGGAGGCTTTTTTTATCTATTTATTTATTTTTTAAGCTCAGCTACTTCTTGGAGGAGTTGATCCCGTTTTGCAGGTGCAAGGAACTTATAAACTATTGATTAACTTGTTTTCTTTTTAGTGACTTAGGCTCACTAGTTTTTTAATCGGAAGTTTAGTAGTTTTATAATGATTTTCACCAAGAAAATTCCCTTTTTTACTTACAGAAAAAGCATGTTTTATTTCCTATTCTTGAGTTCCTTCATAATAAGTTGTTTTGAGGAGAAATTCATCTTATATTTTCAAAAAATAAAATAAGTAGACAAATAAAGAAAACCTAGAAAAAAAGGAAAGGAAAGTTGGAAGGACTGGACAAGCTAGACGCAGGGCCTTTGCTTTTAATGGTTGCTTGAATTTATGTGAAAAAAATCTCAGTTGGCAAAAGGAAGCTTTTAAGCAATTCCAGTTTTAATCAATTTACATGTTGTTTGGAAGTTCCATCTGAAAGAATGAAAATCTTTTAAGGCAAATTGGCAATAACCGAGAAACTGGATAGACATTTTCTGGATTCCCTCCCACTGGTTTGCAAGCGTACAAGAAAAAAAGAGGTCCTTTCGAAAACGAACATATCTACACATTCAAATTACAACATTTCTTCTTTCTTGACTTTAGAGAGACGGCTTGCCACTGCTGCCTTTTTTATTTATATTCTGATTACTTATATTTAACCATGTATGGGCTTTATACTTCGCTGAATATATATATATATATATATATATATATATATAACAACTTGTTGCGGTTATAAATGCACTTATACTTTTCAAAGTTGTCGTAGTGAATAATACAAAGGAGTGGACGCGGTGATCAATAATCTCGTCTCGTGCACATGCAAGTGAACTTTCAAGGTCAGTTCCCTTCCAAAGCCGCTAATTGAGATCATGCATGCATGGTGGCTATAAATAAGAGTGGCAGCGAAGAGGCAATGACCATGCAGATAAACACAAATATTTCCAACATGAAAGCCTTTCTTATTATCTTATGCTTTCTCTTAGCAACCATCATCGTCTTCTCTCCCTCATCCACCAGTGCTGCTCGAGAATTACTGCAGGTCGGGAAAGGTGAGAAACTAACCTGTTTCTGTTTGCTTTTACTTAATTTAAGATAACTAAGCAGCTCATATGGGTGTTCTGTGTTTGTGTATAATCTTGCATGCATATATTTTAGGACCATGACTTAATTAATGCTATAAATTAATTAAGATGCTGTTTGTTATCGCAGAGCATTTAATATTTATTTCTTTTTCGTCGAACAATATTTTCACCATGAAACTATTATTTTGGTAGATACCACACTTTACTTTGAGTTTGTGATCATAACAAGAAAACATATTATTGATTATGATATATATATATATATGTAAATTTTGCAGATCCATATAGGGGATCAGGCCCCGTCAATTCAGGACCTCCATGCGGTAGGAGCAAACAAAATTGCCACCCCAGTCCAAAGCCAGGACCAAATAAACCAAGTAAAAGTTGTCAATCTTCTGTTAGGCAATCTGATTGTGGCCCAAATTGAAGATTGAAGGCAAGCAAGGTTGTATACGTACTTAAGAGTGACAGCAGCTAGTCATGTCATGTGTGTGTATGCTATTTTCATTCGAGTCGAGCTATATACATTTATGTAAGAAAAATAAATTAACTTCCAGCATGATCGGGTTTTGATTCCATGAAATTGTGTAATCTTTGTTGAAGTTTATGCAAAATAAACAAAGAGCTCGCTATCTTCTCTTCTATGATGCTCATATGCCATTGCTTTTATATATATGTATTATGTTAGGACTAATAAAATTAATATTATGAACTGAATATTAATTTTTGTCGGGATTAACTTTATATCAACAAATAAAAAGCTGGCCTTTAATGCTATCTCATCATAAACCCATGAGTACAAATATTTATATATATAGAGGCTCGCGTGAAAAACCACAGTGCTAGAGAGAGTGTGGGGTTTTTATTTTATTTTTTTAATTAGAAACTGGCCACTAAAATCAACAGCGCAGAAACCATGAACTGAGTTTACTCCGGCTGCTCTTGTCATAGCAGCTTGTTCTTGTTTTTGGTGTTAATAATACGATCCCTGATCACTTAACAAAGAAAACCGTGAGCTGATAAATCCCGTTTCTAAAATTAGTTGACATGTATATTTCCAATAAATCAGGGACAGATCTAAATTTCAGAAACTAAAAGGCATATGCAACTACTCTTGGAGTATTGGAGAGATTTTCGATATGGCCCAGTAACTACAAAAAGCAAAGAGAAGCTTGTGACAGGGAAGATTTATGTTAACGATCAATATGACATACTTGGGAGAATATTCTGTCTGTGCAATTCCAGCCTTGAGATGTTATATATAGACACACACAGAGAGATATGTATGTATGTATGTATGTATGTATATTTCATGTATTCCACATTGAATAAATGATGGATTAGCATTGAAGGTCCCCTGGAACTGCACTAGGAAATACTTTTAATTTTTTAATTGTAATCTGAACGGAAATTTAATTTATTCTCTTAACAATATTTCTACTTATTAACGAAAATTTAGTATTATTTTTTTATTTATTTCCAATGGATTTCTGATAAAAATATACTTTTTAAATAACTAGTTTTGACCCAAATTAAAAACTGAAAAAATAATTTTTTAATCAAATGTATTTTTTAAAAAAAATCTGTGAGAGATTCCATTAATTTAATGGAAAGGGGGATAATTTCAAATGTTGTAGGAGATTGAATCAGGAAATGTTAAAAAAAAAAGATTATAAAATAAAGAAAAAAGATAATGCTATGATTTACATTACAAGAGAAAAACACAAGGAATTATTAATTTTGTATCCTGAGCAGTATGTGCACCTAAATAGAAAAGATAATATTCATAGTTTCTACATTAATAATGTAGGAATAATTAGAATTATGTACCCAAACACAAACACTGGTTAAATTAGTTTGTATTGCTGGTGCAGTAGGTTTGATGTTAAGGATTTTTTTTTTTAATGGAGGTGTTTGAGTTAGTTTACACTAGCTTATTAAGTTTATAAACTTTAAAATTAATAATTATATAAATTTTTAATAATAAAATTTAAACTAATAATTTTAAAAAAATAAATATAAAAACCAACCATTTTAGCAATGTAAAGTTGTTTCTTTACCTTAATGCATGCGGTGTGGCATCGCAACAGCAAAGAGATGGCTTTTAAGAGCCGAATTTGTTGCAATATGTGATGATATATGGTAAGGCCCACACCTTCTACTTCTGGCTTAACAAAGGTTCAATGTTCAATGGATGCTTCCCCTTCTTTAATAAGGAATTGACTTGCAGCCAACGCAGCCAGGAAGGAGCCAACGAGTGTCCGAAGAAAGAATGGTTTAAAATAAACCATTTTAGACCAAGTTGTCCTGTTTCAAGTCAAAAATGGTCCAGAAGAGCAATGCCAAGACTTTTAAATACAAGACAGAATTGTATTGTTGGCTGTCGGCTGGAGGAGCCCCGATTTTCAAGTCAAGGATGAGGGGCTACACTGGCTCCTTTCGTAAGGAGGCTTTTTTTTGTCTATTTATTTATTTATTTTATAAGCTCAAATACTTCTAGGAGGATTTGAACCCGTTTTGCAGGTGCAAGGAACTTATTACCACTATGGCCCATTGGTTTTATAAACTATTCATTAACTTGTTTTCCTTTTTAGTGACTTAGGCTCACTAGTTTTTTTATCGGAAGTTTAGTGGTTTTATAATGATTTTCACCAAGAAAATTCCCTTTTTTATTTACAGAAAAAGCATGTTTTATTTCCTATTGTTGATTTCTTTTAATAATTTGTTTTGAGGAGAAATGTATCTTATATTTTCAAAGAAATAAAAAAATAAAGAAAACCTAAAAAAAATAAAAGGAAAGTTGGAAAGGATTGGACAAGCTAGACGCAGGGGCCTTTGCTTGCAATGGTTGCTTGAATTTATGTGAAAAAAATCTCAGTTGGCAAAGGAAGCTTTTAAGAAATTCCATTGGTGAATTATACTTCAGGAAAACCCCTCTGATCATTGCTAAACTGTGACCACAATTTTGTCTTCCTCTAGATGTTTTTTATAAATTTCAGAAAAACATTTAGCAGCGCAGCCCAAGTAATCTGCCCGCCAGCAGCTGATTTGACACTCTTGCTTTTTCCAAGAACGGAGCAAGTTGCAAGAACACTGTTGTCTTGCAGAATAATGGGCCAAAAAAGGAAAGCTGACAGGAATCTTACTGTTTGCAATTAGTGATTTTATAATTACTGCAAAAATTTGAGCCGCACAATCAAGCTGTTTATAAATGGTACTAATCACAATTATGATTTCCGTCTCACCCGAGTGCTATAGCACCTTAATTTCATTCAGCGTCCACTGTTTTGGATCCTGAAAGAGAAAATGGGATGTTTACTACGGTTCACTCAGTCCGTGTCTTTAATTTTGTGTCTCTTGCATTTTAATCCAACAGTTTCGTCATCCTTGTCTTCAAATTTCTCCTCTTCAGCTCAATTATGTGCCAGTGACCAAAGTATTCATCTGCTCCAATTCAAAGAATCTTTTGTCATTGATCCTTCTGCTTCTTTTGAGTATTGTGAAAATCCCAAGACAGAGTCATGGAAAGAGGGCACGGATTGCTGCTTGTGGGATGGGGTGACTTGCGACATCAAGAGTGGGCAAGTCATTGGGCTTGACCTTGCTTGCAGCATGCTTTATGGCCCTCTCCATTCCAATAGCACTCTCTTCTCCCTTCATCATCTTCAAAAGCTTGACCTCTCTTACAATGATTTCAATCTCTCTCATATTTCATCTCAGTTTGGCCACTTTTCCAATTTGACGCATCTTAACCTAAACTATTCGGGTTTTACAGGCCTAGTTCCATCACAAATCTCTCATCTGTCCAAACTGGTTTCACTTGATCTCTCTTATAATAACAAACTGGCACTAGAACCAATTCCTTTTAACAAGCTTGTTCAAAACCTAACCAAGCTAAGAGAACTCCATTTGAGCGAGGTCGACATGTCATTGGTTGTACCCAGTTCCTTGATGAATCTTTCTTCTCCTTTGTCATCACTCCAACTCGCTAACTGTGGATTGCAAGGGAAACTACCAAGTAACGTTCATGGGCTATCAAACTTGCAGCTGCTTGATTTATCGGAGAACATAGACCTTACTGGCTCTTTTCCACCATTCAATGTGAGTAATGCGCTTTCATACTTGGATCTATCAATGACGGGGATTTCAATACATCTACCACGGCTTGGCAACCTCACACAACTCACTGTGTTGGACATTTCATATAACAACTTGAGGGGTCACATCCCTTTCTCTATAGGAAAACTTAAGCACCTTCAGACCCTGGATCTCGGATTCAACAATTTTACAAGCCCGGTTCCATCTGATTTTGAGCAGCTCTCTGAGTTGGTTTCACTTGATCTCTCCGGGAACTCTTATCTGACACTAGATTCATCATCTCTTAACAAGCTTGTTCAAAACCTAACCAAGTTAAGAGAACTCCGTTTGCGGTGGGTAAATATGTCTCTGGTTGTACCTGCATCCTTGAAGAATTTGTCGTCTTCTTTGTCAATTCTTTCTTTTGGGAATTGTGGGCTGCGAGGGGAATTCCCATCTAACATCTTTCTCCTACCAAACCTTGAATTTCTCAATTTGGGGGGTAACGTAGGCCTCACAGGTTCTTTTCCTTCCTCCAATGTGAGCAGTTCCCTCGAGGAGTTGGCTCTTTTTGATACGAAAATCTCAATTTCTATCGAGAATGACTTTATCAATAATCTAAAGTCGTTGAAAAAGCTGGTTCTCCGTAACTGTATCGTTAGCAAAAGATCAAATCTAGCACTGCTTGGTAACCTCACACAGCTTCTTGAATTAGATCTCTCATTTAATAATTTGAGTGGCCGCATCCCATCATCACTGGCAAACCTTGTGAATCTCAATTGGTTGGATCTTAGTTCCAATAATTTCAAGGGTCAGATTCCAGATTTTTTGGGTAGCCTGACACAACTTCAACGTTTATTTTTATCAGATAATCAATTGCTAGGCCCTATCTCTCCTCAAATAAGTAGCCTTCCAAATCTAATAGCTCTCATGTTATCTGATAACTTGTTCACGGGCACAATACCGTCCTTTTTGTTTTCTCATCCCTCTCTGCAGTATTTGGACCTCCGTAGTAACTTATTCACTGGGAATTTAAGTGAATTCCAGTACAATTCATTAATATTGCTTGATTTGAGCAATAACCACTTGCATGGCCCAATTCCAAGTTCAGTTTTCCATCAAGAGAACTTGATAGTCCTTAAACTTGCATCCAACAAGTTAACAGGAGAGATTTCTTCTTCTGCTTGTAAGCTGACAGCCCTCCAAGTCCTTGACTTGTCCAACAACAGCTTGAGTGGTTTTATACCACAATGTCTGGGGAACTTTAGTGACAGTCTCTCAGTGTTGCATCTTGGCATGAACAACCTCCAAGGCACACTCCTTTCAAGGTTTTTTGTGGGGAATAACTTGAGATATCTCAATCTCAATGGCAACGAATTGGAAGGGGAAATACCACCATCTATTATCAACTGTACACAATTGGAGGTTCTTGATCTTGGTTTCAATAAGATAAAAGGCAAGTTCCCCTACTTTTTCGATACGCTTCAAGAGCTACAGGTCCTTGTTCTAAAATCCAACGAACTCCATGGGTTTGTGAAAGGTCCGACGACCAACTACGCCTTTTCAAAACTAAGGATTTTTGACATCTCCAGCAATAATTTTAGTGGACCGTTGCCAACTGGGTATTTCAATGGTCTCGAAGCAATGAAGACCTTGGATCAAGATATGATTTACATGAAGGTTAGAAACATCAGTTATGATTATTCTGTAAAATTGACGTGGAAAGGGCTGGAAATTGAGTTTGTGAAAATTAGAAGTACCCTCGCATTCATTGATTTGTCGCACAACAGTTTTATTGGAGAGATACCAGAGTCGATTGGAAAGCTTAATGCACTTCAACAGCTAAACTTCTCTCACAACTCCCTTACAGGATATGTTCAACCTTCATTGGGGAATTTGGCCAATCTGGAATCGTTAGATCTCTCTTCAAACTTGCTTACGGGAAGGATTCCGATGCAGTTGGCAGATCTAACATTTCTTAGTGTCCTAAACCTTTCACATAACCAGCTACAAGGACCCATACCTAAAGGAAAGCAGTTCAACACGTTCAATAAGGGTTCATTCGAAGGAAACTCGGGCTTGTGTGGATTTCAAATCTCGAAGGAATGCAATAGTGGTGAGACACAACAACCACCACCATCAAACTCCGAAGAAGGAGATGATTCATCACTGTTTGGAGATGGATTTGGATGGAAAGCAGTTGTGATGGGGTATGGATGTGGATTTGTGCTTGGAGCTGCAGTTGGATACATAGTGTTTAGAACAAGAAAACCGGCATGGTTTGTAAGGATGGTCGAAGTTCAATGGAGTCTGAAAACTAAAGGAAGAATGAAGAAAGCTCACAGAAACGGTGCAAGAAGAAACTAACCGTTGAAGCAGGTATTTTCAGGTAATTTATTCAAGCGTCTGATGTATTTTCAAGATGTCAGATATATATATATATATATATATATATATATATATAGAGAGAGAGAGAGAGAGAGCGAGAGAGAGAGAGAGAGAGAGTGAAGTTTCTATAATGTTTTTTTTCTCTTGCATTGAACATTTTTTTTTTAACAGCAGAACGGGCTATTCATTCAACAACTAGGGAAATCCTTTACAAGAATACAACGAAGTTCATCCGGGTGGTTGTGAACCCAGTCAAGTAGACATTTGAAACATCTAGTCACTCTGGCTGTCCAATCTGCGGCAACATTTGCACTTCTACCCGCCCAAGCTACTGTTACAAATTGATAGCGTGGAGCACTTGTTTCTCATCATCAGTTTCTACAATCACTTGGCAAGTTGAAGACTGACTACCCAACGCAATATACTGCCTTATGTGATGCGTCGCCAATAATTATAGCTGTGATTTTCTACGACGCGAATAACATTGGAATGGAAGATACAGAGTGCTAGACCCATCTTCCACTCTACATCTATTTTACTCTTCTGGTGTTAGGTTTTTTCTTTCTTTCCCTCCTTTTTCAATGGTTTTCTTTTTTTTTTCTTTTTTTTGCAATGATGGGTGTTGATAATGTGAAAAAAGAGTCAATTTACGCTTAAATATATAGTTAATTTCAAGCAGCCTGAATTTGGCATGGTGCGAGATTTATATTATTGACAAAACATCCGATTTTCGACAGCTGAAAAATGATTCATGCTAATCAACACTGGCTAATAATGTTTGTAGCTTTCGATAGAACGAAGTTTTAAGAATACAATTTTCTTTACAAAATAACGTTATAAACCGGATATACTGTACAGAATATATACACGCGTGGAAATACTTCTTTACCAGCGCTCAATTGAAGCATACGAATTGTTAAGAGCAACTAATTTTTCATGTAATAGAGTGAACAACTCAGTGATTGTTCCACGCACTAGTTTCTAGTAGGATAATATGACAGTAAATAAATAAATTAATAAGAAATGATCTGGAAGCAATTTTTTATGCATCTTGATCTACCGGCCTTGTTCTGGACTGCTCAAATATTCAAGGCCGAAAGAAAGGCTTAATCCAGAGATCATGATGAAGAGTGCAATGATCCGCTCCTAGTCGCCTAATTGGATACTGAATTGTACCCTATGATCCATATAATTTGACATTCGTTCGGCCTCTCGCCATCATTATTTATATTCGGCTTATTTAGCAGATTCAATGGTCTGGGTCATGAATTTGTAGATTTCATGATTAAACCTCCTCCTCTGATCAACAAGTTCTTCATGGGCATATAGGAGAAACCTCATCCCATTATCATCTCTCAGTCTTCGTTCATGATATCAGTTTGTTGTTCAAAACTCATGCACCTTTTGTCTGCAGGTGAATAAATTATATTATTCGTTATTTTATGAAATTATTATTGAGAATTTGTTCTGTTCATAATAGTTCTCTTAGATTTTCAGCAGTCTTGTTGTAGTGTAGGAACGGCACTTCCAGCAATTTTTCCTGGCTAATCTCTCAATCAAGATACTGTTGTTCCATGATGTTCAAACAAGAAACTACTACTGTCATCCAGGATATTATCACAACAATGCTGGATGGTAGTGGTCGTTTCTTGTCTGAACATCATGACTCGTTAGGATCACACCTCTCGTGAAAAGTAAAAATTAGAAGACAATCAAGGTTTGCCTTCTATTATCATGTTCCTGGATTCTTTATAGCGTGCAGATTACTTTTACTGGGGTGAACGTATCTGTTAACATCGTCCCGCGTCCTCATTTATGTTACAACCCACTGCGCCAGTAATGTTAAATGAGAATTTTTTAAAATACCAACCTCCATTTTTTTACTCCTCAGCATTTCTTTCAATCTAGTGACTTGCTGTGCTTGCCAATTCTGTTTTCTCTTAGCCTTGAAGATGTTGCCTATGATAGTTCAGTTCATGTGCGCCAGGTACCCCTTCTTCTGATGGTTCGATTGACGTTCTGCAAGTGACAAAAATAGAATCAGTACAAGCCATTTTAAGTAACAGATGAATGGCTTGCTTTCTGGGTCTTTCATTCTCATGCATCCTTCAATTATCATTCCTTGCACGTACTTTGATAATTAATTACTGAAACGTAAAGGCTCCCTGTTTGTATTATCTTCAAGTATTGCTCTTTTCCTCCAGGAAGCTTTAAAGGCCTTGTGGAATATTGCTTTCCTGGAGAAGGAGCCTCAATTTTATTTTATTTTAGTTAAAAAATTGTCGATTATGCATATTTATCTTGTTATCTACTTCGAAATTTCAAGCATTACCGATTCGTATTCTCAACTTTCCATCCAAATATTATAATTTATATTTGCCCAAACTTGCATTTCTTTTTTATTGCAAATATGGACATGATTATGAACATTTACTTTTTTATATATTATTCATGATATGAAATATATAAATTTTAATTTTTATAAGATTTTAAATTGTTATGAAGGAAGAATATAATTGTATGATATTTTAATTTTAAAAGTACGACGATAAATACATGCAGTTAGTGTCAAGTTGCCTGCCTTACCCGTACAGGATATCTGCAGAAAACTCTTGCTTCTTCTTTATAATAATCGCTATTAGTAGCTGGATACATGGACTTAAGTCCCCTGACAAAAAATATTGGACAAGCTTGAAGAGTTAGTTTTGTTCTTTTACATATGTTCTTCAGGTAATGATCGGATGTTATTCAGGTATTCATTAATATTGTAATAATATTTTATTTTTCAAATATTTTTCATTTATTAAAAAATATTTTTTTATTTTTCCAAATTTATTTTTCACATAAACAATAAAAAATATCCAAAAATATCAAAAAAATAATTACCCCTTTGTATTAAAAAAAAAACCCATCTTAGTTATTATTTGTTTTGTATATATAAAACTACTCCCTTTTTCTTGATATTTTTTTCATTTAAATAGCTTGATTTTCTTGGTTTCATCTTCTTAATCAAGTTATATCCAAATAAATAAACATCTCTGTACTGAGTATTCTCCAAAATTAAATTTTTTGAGGCTTTTTTATTTATAAGAAGGGATGGGGTGTGTCGGGTGTAGCCAAATTAAATTTTGCATAAAATCCCCAAAGACCTCGTTGCATGCAAGAGGGCAGCAGATTCTTCAAACAATGGAGATCCAGTCACTGAGTCGATCTTCTCATCGCATGACCCGGGCGTCATCCAAACTAGAGGTCAAAACAGTTTCCTAACTGTTGATCCCTTTTATGAGCTTGTAGCTTTTGATTTTTCCCAACAATACTGCAAACGGGAAAAAGACGCGAGTCCTGGGTGAATATCATTATTGAGATTTCTATCAGATATGTGCCCTGCCATGCAACTATTCTGCTACGCTAGTTAAGTACCCTCTGTTGTAGTTTATCTTACGCATGACAACTAATCCGTCTGTGCTAGTTATGCTATGCAGAAAGTAAAACTGGCTTATAGGTTTATGCATGCATTTTAAAGGCACACAAGCTTGCTCCATCGTCTGAATAAAACGTCTATTTTAATACAGGTTTTAAAAAAATGCACTTACCACAGACCAACATTCACTTCTGTTTTGTTAGCAGTTCAATGTCAGCCCCAACTTCAGCAATCTTCGTTTCTTTAGAAGCTTTGGCTGTTTTCGCAACATTCTCAACATCAAAGTCCAATGCAATTCTTTTCACCAGACCATCAAGCATCTGTGCAAGGAAGACATCAAGATGTTCTTGAATAAAACAATCGGTAGGATGCAAGTACTCTGATAGTCTGATATATAAAACAATAGGCATCCCACAAGAAACAATCCAAGTGTACAGCTCTCCCTCTTAAAATTCCATTAATAACTTGTCTTGACTAACCGTGTTCTTTAAAATCTTTAGAGATTTCAGTCACTTCTCTTAACATGTTCTTTTACTCGAAATTCAAAAGTTGTGATTCATATTAATTCCCTTCTGGGACGAGTGGGATGCATGTATTACCACAGGTTTTGAACAATTTTCTAAACAGGTAACAGTATCTTTAAGTTTAGGTAATTTGAATTGGTAGTCCATGGTTCATCAAATGGAAGAGGGTCCCACTACATTGTAGAGAGGCATCAGCTATGTGCAATGGAAGCATTCAAGTTAAAAATAAGGCCAGTTCACTTCAATGTGGTTATTCCTATCCACAGAGAAATCCTGGCCGCTGAAATATCAGGGGATTCAAGAAAAGGTCCAGCGGGCAAAAAGCAACCTGTTTGATATCATCAATTTCTGAAAAAACCAATGAGTTTGGGATCATCAATAAAATTCTGATAGTAATTAAAATTAGGACTTCTTGTAGGCTAATATTTCTCAAAGCTAGCTTTGGGCTTTCCAGTGAAATGCAGTCCCGTTACCCAGAAAAATAGAAATGAATTAGGTAATCTTTGAACAAACCCAAAGCATCAGTGATATCAGCTTAGTTCATTCTTTTATTGAACTTCAAGCTGATAAAATAAATATCTCAAATAGTGCTAAAAGTTAAAGTGTGTGGGCAGGTTCTCAATGACTCTGCGAAAGCATTATCCAAATGGCAGCAGTTGCTATGTAAATATTAAGGAAGAACATGCAGAGAGGTTCACAATCAACGGCATGTATACTGTATAATACTGACCTGGAAATATCATTGCCAGTGGCCAAGATATATATATATATATAAAACAACTTGTTGCTGTTTAAATGCACTTATACTTTTCAAAGTTGTCTTATTCAATAATACAAAGGAGTGGACGCGGTGATCAACAATCTCGTCTTGTGCATGTGAACTTTCAAGGTCAGTTCCCCTCCAAAGCCGCTAATTAAGATAATGCATGCATGGTGGCTATCGATAAGAGTGTCAGCGAAGAGGCAATGATAAACACAAATATTTCCAGCATGAAAGCCTTTCTTATTATCTTATGCTTTCTCTTAGCAACCATCGTCTTCTCTCCCTCATCCACCTGTACTGCTCGAGAATTACTGAGCGAGAAAGGTGAAAAACATGTATGTATTATCTAAAAGACTGTACTTTAAAAATATTATAAAATATAAAGAACAGTTTTTCAATGAACAGCAATATGAAAAATAATAAATTAATTAACAATATGAATATCATATATAATATTTTTACAAGTAATAATAAAATATATCAAATTCTCAACAATAATATAATATAAAGTAGTATTTATCAAAACAAACTATCAAATAAAAAATACTTTATATTAACTTAAATGAGAATGCTTACAAATTTTTTTTCTTGAACAAAAGATAAAATACTAAAATAATTGAATACGCAAAAGATGTAGTAGAGATTAAATCTTGTTTTATGAAATCAATTCTATATAATATTAAAATAATTCAATTAATATAAAAATAAATACAAGATGAAAGCTAGAATTCTCCTCAATTCATTTATCTAAAAGTTCTTCCCTTAACATAAATACAAAAAACTTATATACATATATATATATATATATATATATATATATATATATATATTAAACTAAAAATATTATTTTACTTTAAATAAATATATTATTTAACGGTAAGATCCACACCTTCTACTTCTGGCTTAACAAAGATGCAATGTTCGACGGACCCTTCCCCTTCTTTGATAAAGGCTTGACATGGAGCCCACGCAGCCAGGAAGGATCCAACGAGTGTCCACAGAAAGAAGGTCTTAAAATAAACCATTTTAGACCAAGTTGTCCTGTTTCAAGTCAAAAAGGGTCCAGAAGAGCAATGCCGAAGACTTTAATGCAAGTTGTCCTGTTTTGCAGGTGCAAGGAACTTATTACCACTGAACCAAAGGCCCATTGGTTTTATAAACTATTGATTAACTTGTTGTCTTTTTAGGTACTTAGGCTCACTAGTTTTTTAATCGGAAGTTTAGTAGTTTTATAATGATTTTCACCAAGAAAATTCCCTTTTTTACTTACAGAAAAAGCATGTTTTATTTCCTATTCTAGAGTTCTTTCATGATAATTTGTTTTGAGGAGAAATTCACCTTATATTTTCAAAAAATAAAATAAGTAGACAAATAAAGAAAACCTAGAAAAAAAAGAAAAGGAAAGTTGGAAGGACTGGACAAGCTAGACGCAGGGGCCTTTGCTTTTAATGGTTGCTTGAATTTATGTGAAAAAAATCTCAGTTGGCAAAAGGAAGCTTTTAAGCAATTCCAGTTTTAATCAATTTACATGTTGTTTGGAAGTTCCATCTGAAAAAAATGAAAATCTTTTAAGGCAAATTGGCAATAACCGAGAAACTGGATAGACATTTTCTGGATTCCCTCCCACTGGCTTGCAAGCGTGCAAAAATCTACTAAAATTTTAGTAAAATCTATTATATTTCAAGAAATTTTTAATTATCTAAAAACAACTAGTTATATTTTTATTAATCATTTTTCAATTAAGATCCAATCGTTGGGTTTCAATTCCTACAACCCACGTCAATGCAACTATAATTTATCAAGCATTAATATAATACAAATGAAATATTAGATGGTACTAAATAAGTAAACAAATATACGTTTAAGTTTATATATTTAATTTAAAAGATATTATTATAAATCAAGTCATGCGAGGAAACTCGGTTATAAATGACTTATCTTTCTTTTGATTTTTGGGAGTTGTCGGCTAGCAATTTACCACCATTTCAATTCAAATCTTCTTCTTGTTGGTTTATAAAAAAATAAAACTAGAAAATTTTACTTGAGCAATTAGATTTAAAGTCCTCTGGCATGAGTGGTAAAAAGTAAGGTTTTACACCATCCATTTAGGGATCTCATTTACTTTTATCAGCTCTTATAGGAAATGTTTCCTATTACTTTTTTATGTTATGACCTTTAAATTTACAACGATAATCCGATTATTTAAGTTGAGTTGCTAACCTAATAAATTATAAAATTCAAATCTTACCAAATAATAAAAATAAAAATAAATCAATTAAAAAAATTAAAAAAAAACAAATAATTTAAATACACTAGGATTTATCAACCAAACTCACAATTCATTTTATGTGAGTAAGATAACTTTATAAAAATTAAATCAAAATAAATTATAATATTCAATTCTTAATCAATCCATTATTAAAGGATAAAATTAAATAAAATAATTAAATAAAAGACATAAAAAATAACTCGAGTGAACCTATCAAACTCGTAACTTGAATAATATGATCACAATAACCTTATAGAAAGCAAATAAAAAAATTATGAAACTTAATTTTAAATCATCAAAATATTAAGGAATGAAATTAAAAAAAATAAAAAAAACCCGAGTTATCTTATTAAATTCACAATCTAAGCTATAAAACCGAGATTAAAAAAAACCCATTAAAAAATTAAATTAAAAAAATTAAACCTAAAAAAAAAAGAAAAAACAAAAATAAAGCACTATTGAACAGTGCTTTTTGAGCAGGGCCACGTAGAAAGAGCTATTTTTATAAAAACTTGTAATTTTAATTTAACGAGGAAATAAAAGATAGATATGGGAGAGTATTTCCTCTTCTCCCTCCCCGTATCGTTGGCCCCAAATCAATTTTTTGCATCCAAACTTCATAAATATTCCATGTCTATTCTACCTATGTAGATAAAGCCGGAAAATATTGGGGAAAACCTCCACATCAATTTGGCATACATGTTCTTTGATTTGCAGCGGTGCATACGTACTTTCTTCCTCGTCAATTAGCTTATATGACGTAACAAAAAGATAAAAGCATTGCCTAACAATCTAAAATTTCACATTATTTTTTTCTTCGGTGAACATGATCATAATTTTTGTTAATAATAGTGAATCAAAGTTTTAGGTTTACTAACAAGATGATGGTAAAACCCCTAATCTGTCTCCAAGTAAAAACGACTCGAGCCCCCTTTCTACCTCAGCGATCTGCAACTGCGAAGGCAAAAGGGACTTGACGTACAGTGGCCATCAGTCCATGGTATATCCTTAACAAGAACACACCACCACAGGAACATAGAAAAGAATCTGAAGCCTGTACATCATCTTCAAAAGAACCATAACTTTTACAATCAGCTGCGCGCAGTCAAAACAGAGGATCTCCAACACAACAATGAGAATTTCATGCTATTCCTTTCTAACCCCTAACCTCTTCTGTACAACACAACGATGAGATTTTCTATATAGGATATATAAAACATGTTGTTTTGATAAGGGTCTGTCAATCATTTTTATCATTTTTTTGTCAGTTTTTATGAATATGAACTTTTAAGTTCTATTGTTAATTGAATTAGTTTGAACATGTAAATGGTAAAGCTTTCTTGTTCATGTGATCCTCAAAGCTGTTTACGTGGCAAAATTGGTGTTTTGTTTTTTTGGCAAAAACAACCCTATTTCAAGAAATAAGCATAAAACAACCCTATTTCAAGAATTAAGATTTCGAACTACGTACCCTAATCTTTATTAGCCATTCACTTTATGGCTAACAATTTGCAATAATACACTTCGATTATCACCAACAAAAAAAAAAAAAAAAACAACGCGTGCTATATATGTTTTGCTTAGAAATTACCTTCTTGATGAAAGATGGAGTCGTTGTCCACATGCAAAGTCGACCAGCTAGTCTTGGGCTTCATTCTTCGCTGAATATATATATATATAGTATATATTTTTAACAACTTGTTGCTATTATGAATGCACTTATACTTTTCAAAGTTGTCTTATTCAATAATGCAAAGGAGTGGACACGGTGATCAATTAATAATCTCGTCTTGTG